TATATATATATATATATATATATATATATATATATATATATATATATATATATATATATATATATATATATATATATATATATATATATATATATATATATATATATATATATATATATATATATATATATATATATATATATATATATATATATATATATATATATATATATATATATATATATATATATATATATATATATATATATATATATATATATATATATATATATATATATATATATATATATATATATATATATATATATATATATATATATATATATATATATATATATATATATATATATATATATATATATATATATATATATATATATATATATATATATATATATATATATATATATATATATATATATATATATATATATATATATATATATATATATATATATATATCATGGCCTACTTAAATACACGGCCTTCTAATCTGCTTAAATCGAAAAAATATAGAAGGCCAGTTGAAATAACGTATATTCTATTATATGGACAGACTCTCTCAAAATATTTTAAATTTTGCGCTATAAATGTTAAGTAAGTAAATCTGACACCGGATAAAAGTTTTTGCGTTAGATTGTAAACTGTATTGTTATTTGTGACTACTTTTTAATTATTAATAATAATAATGGTTAATAAATGCTGTGTTGTTGGTTGTACCTCTAATTATAATTTTTTGGTTTTCCAAAAGATGATGACTTAAGAAAGTTATGGGTTAGATTTGTAAACAGAAATTTCTGGACTGTCACTAAATCATCTGTGATCTGTTTAAAACATTTTGATGAAAATTTAATACACAAAAGAGCATCAGCAAAACGATTTCGTTTGTTGTATAATTTGAAGCCTGTTCCTACAATATATCCGGCTAGCATAGCAACGGCTTCACTTCCAGTTATGTCTGTACCAAGAAAATCACCAACTAAAAGAATTTTTCAAGAAGATGAATCAGAAATTTTTATCAAATGATGTTATTGAAGATCTTAATTCTCTTACAGTTGCTGATTCACCAACAGGATATTCATTTTCCAAATTTGATGATTGTGTTGTGTTCCATAAAATTATTCAAAATGAACTTCACATACCTCAAGTTGCTGAATGTATTCGTATTGACAAAAATCTTCACGTTAAACATTTTTATAAAAATCTTCCAGTCTCTTTACCACCTTGGTTTAGAGTAACCCACCAATGTGTGTTAAAGAGAAGGAGTATGCTGGAAAACTTTAATTAACATTTTAGCATCGAAAAAGAGATGCTGTCTTCTATTCTTGAAGAACTTAAAAGTTACCAAGTAAAAAAAAAATCAAATTTATTCTTCAAATATGCTTCAATTTGCCTTGATGCTGCATTACACATCATTGCAAACATATAATTTACTGCTGAAGGAATTCCCACTTCCATCTATATCACTGTTAGGCAAGCTTAAAGCAGGTGAAATTGATTCTATGAAAGTTTTAAAGTTGTTACATGAAAATGGGAGCTTATCAAAAGATCTTTTAAGAATTTTTGATGAAATGTATTTGCAAAAATGTGCTGAATATTCTGGCGGAGATATAATTGGGGTTAGTGAGGAAAATGAATGCTATAGAAGCATTGTTTCCTTCATGGTAGTTGGTTTAAAAGAAAATATCTTTTGTGTTGTCAAAGCAGTTCCAATTATAAAATTAAACAGTGATTGGTTGAAGACTGAAATTCTTAACCTGATTCAATCTTTAATAAAAAATAGTTTTAATGTTCGAGGTGTTGTTTGTGACAATCATGCTTCAAATGTTTACAAAGTTGCTTAATGCACATGGTAAAAAACCTGATGATTTGTTTATTAATGTACAATCGCAAAAAATTTACCTATTCTTTGACACAGTGCATCTGATTAAAAACATTCGAAACAACTTACTAAATAAAAAAAGGTTTATTTTTCCAGAATTTCATTTTTCAGGTTTTAAAGATGAAATTCATGTTCAACCAGGAGAAATATCATGGAAAATATTTCATGATTTATTAGAAAAGGACAGCCTGTTGGATGCAAGTTTAAAAAAAGCACCAAAAATAAATAGCAAAGTTGTCCATCCTGGAAACTACAAGCAAAATGTCACTATTGCTTTAGGTATCTTCCATGAAACTACAGCAGCAGCAATAAAATCATATTTTCCCGACCGTTTAGATATTGCATCTTTCTTAACTCTTTTTAATAAATGGTGGATAATTACAAATTCAAAAAATCAGTTTTCTAACAACTGTCTTGGAAATGCTGCTATAATTAATGATAAAAAACCTGAGTTTTTTCGAGCTTTTACTGACTGGTTAAATAAATGGAAAAACACAAAAATTCCAAATTTTGAGAAATATACATCTCCTCAAACGTTATCAGCACTACAAAGAACTTTATTATGTCATGCTTTATTAATAGAAGATCTGTTCGAAGATAATTATAAATTTATATTGACTGCTCGTTTTCAAAGTGATCCATTAGAAAGAAGATTTGGACAATACCGCCAAATGAGTGGTGGCAGGTTCCTTGTCAGTTTGAAAGATGTTATTTATAGTGAGAAGATAATCCAAATAAAAAGTTTAGTAAAGAAAGGAATTCAAATTTTCGAAAATGATATTAATGCTGTAGAAGATACACAACATGCTAGATCCTTGATGAATGAGATCAAAGAAAGAGATTTAGATTGTGTGACTTTATCAGATGATTCTCGTGAAGTTGCTAGTTATATTGCTGGTTTTATTGCCAAAAAATTGAATAAGAAGTTTAAAATATGTTGGAAATTGCTTTGTACACAACATTGTCAACAGGAGTTGAATGATTATAATTATTTAAATATATTGTCCCGAGGTGGGCTAACAACTCCATCATTACCCCTTTTAGAATATGTCTGTGATAGTTTTGCTATGCTAGATCATGTATTTGATGTTATTTATCAGTCTCGAATGCAACACCGTAAAACAGCAAAGTTAGTTCTTGGCAGTAGAGAAGGTTACCAACCATTTTTATGTTTAAATCACCAAAATTGTGGAAAAGAAGTTACACACACTATTATTTCAAATATTTATTTTAATAACATCAGAAAGAGAGTCTGTGTTTCCATTGTTGCAGATAACATTGTTGTCTTTAAACAAAAACAGAGAAAAAAATAAGAACATTTTTTTTTCTCGCATTAATCAGTAAATTTAATCAGTTTGTGTTCAATTTTGTTTATACTTTTAAAGCTTACTTTTGAGAGTTTGTGTATTTTTATTTCTTGTACAGTCCTTGAATATCACAAAAAATCTATTGACAAATATAACCCATGTCTTTATAAAATCATTTAAGTAATATGTAATTATGAAGGTTAATAAATTTTGTGTTGTTTTCAATAAACACAGCATTTATTAATCATGATTACTAATTTATCATGATTTATTATTAAAAAGAAGCCTCAATAAAGTATACAAAGTTTAGTGGTTTAGTAGATATTTCGATTAAGCTAACGCAAAAATTTTTATCCCGTGCCAGATTTACTTAAAATTCATAACTCAATAATTAAAATATTTTCAAAAAGATTGTCCATCCGACAAAATATGCGTTATTTTAACTGGCCTTCTATTTTTTTCCGATTTAAGCAGAATAGAAGGTATTTAAGTGTATTTAAGTAGGCCATGTATATATATATATATATATATATATATATATATATATATATATATATATATATATATATATATATATATATATATATATATATATATATATAGTATATATATATATATATATATATATATATATATATACATATATATATATATATATATATATATATATATATATATATATATATATATATATATATATATATATTATATATATATATATATATGTATATATATATATATATATGTATATATATATATATATATATATTAGATTATATTGTTGGTAATCTTTCGGTTCCATTAGTGAAAGGTAAACTTATTGCTGGCATTCTAAAACTTTACAGTGAACATTTAATTTCATTTGATATTTTTCCTATAAAATTTGAACCTGGTTGGCATAGTGTTATTTCTTTTATTATTGGTTCAAGTATTAAATATGGGTATAGAGTTCATGGTATTATGTTTCATTATGATAGCAGTGGAAAACTTCAAATTGCTCCAATAAATGGGGATCCTGAACGTTTTTTCAACACAAAACCGATTGCATTGAATTTGTGGTCAAATCTTGAAATTAGTCAATTTTTCAATGGCACTGTTTATATATACACAATCAAAGTAAATGGAGAAACAGTCTTTTTTGAAAGTAACAATCAATCTCAAAGTTTTGATAATGTTGAAGTGTATGCTTCAGAACCAATATATGAACCTCAAGATGGCTTTATAAAAAACTTTTTTATTATCAATGGAAATTTGAGTAAGTTGTGGGACTTGTTGTTACTTTTTCATTTTGCTATCTCTATTTTAAATGTGGTGGCATAGAATTCATCAGTTAATTTTTTTTACTATCTTAATCTAAATTTAATTTAATTAATTGTTAATTTAGTTTTAGTTTAAGGTATTCAAAAGCTGTGTCTGAGTAAAATTTTTACTTCTTCTCCCTCTTATTTTAATGGGGAGTACAATAAAAGATAATTATCTTTTATTGTTCTCCCCATTAAAATGAGTTTATATTTGTGTTATATGAATTGTATTTGTTGCCTCCATTTTTAGGGTAGGGATAGCAAACATTTTAGGGCTATTGACATCCCTGAAAATTAGTATAATAAAAATTCTTAAAAAGTTTAGAAAACATGTTTTAAGTTTGAGTTTTTAAAATCTTTTTTTTTTCTGATAGATGACAGAATACAACCTGTTATTCTTCCTGCAGGTACTTGAAATATTTTTTATTTCAATTTAAAAGACTGCTTTTTTAAGTTAAATAATGCATAAATAATTTTAAATACTATATAAATAAATTTTAGACACTTATATTAAGTTTAAATATTAGACAATTAAATAAAGATTTATTCAATATATAAAAAAAAATAAAAGTCTATAATATATCACTGGTATAATTGCAGAATAAATATTAGTTGTTTCTTTTTTTATTTTACTACTGCAAGGTTGTTACAAATTGTGAGGTTGCTACAATTATCATTCAATATTGCATGTTATAGAACTATATGAGATCCTAAATAAAAAATATTTTTTACTTAGCATACTTAATGGTAAAGCATGGCTAATAGGAGCTGTGTTTACATTGGTAAAGGTCAAATTTTAAAGGGAGAAGGCATTAAAAGAAATAAAAAAATTTGGGAAAGAAAAAGATAATTAAATCTCTTAAAATAACAAAGTTTCATGATGCAAATTAGTTTATAAAAAACTCAAGAAAATTTATTTTGAAAATTTATTTTGATAAAAATTATATATTTACCATGTTTTTGTTTTATAATTTCTCAATTATTGGTGCACTGCTTGTTTGTTATTACAAAAAATTTGAAAAGATAAGTAACAATTTAATGTAGTTGATTTATTCAAAATGCATTTTTCATGTCTAGATTAAAAAAAAGTTAACAGAACTAGCATTAATAACACCATTAACAACACCAGTATGTAATTGATTTCAATAACTAAATGTTCTGTTTGATAAAATGTTCAGGCTAAAAATTTGCTACTTCACAATAATATTATATTTTCAAAATTAAGTTTTTATTTATAAACTAGTTTAAAATATTTTTCTTGCCAATGTAAATTTGTTAATTAAAAACTATTATGTAAATGTAAAATTTATTTTCATTAAGATTACATCAACAATAGGAAAGATTTTCTTGTAACAAAAGGTTTTCTACTTGCTACTCTCAACATCTTGATGAAAGTCTACTCTGTTTCTTTTAATATAAAACCAAGAAATTTTACTAAAGGTGTAAAAAGTGTTCTTCATTTAACTTTGAATAATAATTTTGAAGCTTACGGTGAAAGTATTTTAAATGTTTGGTTTCATGAAGATGGTACTGGGAAACTTGTTATTTGTAATGCTGGTAAATGCGGCAATACTTTATATAATATTGAAACAACTTCACTCATGTTGGATCAATGGTCCTCTGTTAAAATTTATCAAAGTTTTATAAACACTAAGTACTGGTTTGCTGTTGAATTAAATGGAATTAATATATATCAAGTAGAAAACTCTGCTGCTAAAGTTTATAAAAACATTAAAGTGTATGCTTCTGATCTTTGGAATAATGCTCAAAATGCTTCTATCAATAACCTTTTGATCATCAATGGAAATGCTGGTAACTTAATAGTATTATTATTGTTTTTAACATTCTTTAAACATTCATTGTGGTAAAATTTTTAACAGTATGATAAATACATTTACTTCAAGGTTTCAGCTTTATAAAACGTACCAATTTCTTGGAGAAATTTGTATGTTTTATAAAAATGAAATGTTTAAAATATGTATATTTATGTTTACAAGAAGAGAAAAGTTATTAACAAATCATTATTTTTGCCAAATTTATTTCCTAATATTTCTTTTAGAGTACCTTGTTGGAAGTACACCTATTTATTTAGTAAAAGGAAACATAATCGCTGAAATACCAAAACTTGATAAAGAATATTTAATATCAGTTGACATTTATCCTAATATTTTTGTTCATGGTTGGCATAGTGTTGTTTCTTTCATTATTGGTTCTGAAAATTACTACTTTGGAGACAGAGTTCCTGGCATTTATTTTCATGAATCTGGTGATGGAAAACTCCAAATAGCAGCCCCATTAAATGGTGAACGCAACCGTTATTTTGATACAAAACCAATTAGGAAAGGTATGTGGACAAATGTTGAGGTGAGTCAAATTTTGAAGGGAAATGTCTTTATATATACAATCAGAATAAATGGAGAAGTTGTTTTATCTGCAGTTAACAATGACTCTCAAAATTTTGACAATGTCAAAGTATATGCTTCAGAATCATCACATGATGTTCAAAATGGCTTCATAAAAAATTTATTTATTGTTAATGGCATTGAAAGTAAGTTTTTATATATTTTTAAAAAAATAAATTAGTTTTTTATTAAATTTTAGTTTCATTTTCTCACTTTTTTAAAGTAACATAATATCTAAGTAGCAATATGTAAGGTTTTGATATCAAATCCATTTATTTATAAATTCTTTGATAGTGTTTTAAAACCAAGTTGTTTGTATTTTTTCATGTTGATGTTTATAAATAATTAATATAATAATAAAATATAGCTGTTACAACTGGTGTTAACACTTGTAAAGTGCAATAACGGTAGATGTTGCACTGTAACAACTCTGTTTTTTGTTTTTGTCTTAACAAAAAGTTTCTGCAAAATTCAGATTTGTCAAATTTATTTTTGATGTTATTTATTGAGCAGCTTCTACTATTTCAGATGGTAAGTTATTCCACGCATTTACAACTCGATTTTGGAAAAAGTGATATCTGAAGGTGTTTTTTCAAAAAGGTTTTTTCATTTTGAATTTATGTTGTCGTAAATACGGACCTTCATTTGATGTGTTTGGATAATTTTTGGTAACCTAATTTATTTTATTATAGCCATATTAAATTTTAAAATGTTGAATAAGATCTCCACGTAGTCTACATTCTTCTAGAGTCGTTAATTGCATAATAGTTAATCTAGCTTCATAAAGTAACTTTTAATTGTAGGTTGCTCTTTTTTGGATCGTCTCTTTTTTATCTATGTCTTGTTGTAGGAATGGAGACCATTCTTGTATAGCAAACTTAAGATGTGGACGTATGAATGTTGTATAGAGCTTTTTTACTATATTTACATCTAAATATTTAAATGTTCTCTTTATGATGCCTACATTCTGTTGGATTTGCTAGTTACTGAATCAACTTGTGAGTGCCATTTTAGATCCGATTGAACCATTATACCTAAATCACGTTCAGCTTCTGTGTTACATAATGTATATTGTAATTACAGTCAATATCAGTCATTATAAATGTAGCATTTAAATTTTTTTACCCGATATGCATAGTTTTGCATTATTTATAATTAAATTTTGTGAGTCAGATAGATGACCATGCCATTATATTATTTATATCACTTTGAAGGCTTATTGAATCATTCTGATTTTTTATGTTTATTATTTTACTATCATCAGCATAAAGTTTGATAGAGTTTTTAATTTGATCTGGCAAATCATTTATGAAAATCAAAAATTGCAGTGATCCTAAAACTGATCCCTGTTGTATACCACTGATAACTGGTAGCCAATCTGAGACAGTGTAACCGAAGATCACTCTCTGTTTTCTGTTAGTTAAAAAGTTTTCTATCCACTTTAAGTAATTTCTCACTATGCCATATGATTTAAGTTTGTGATCAAACAAGAGTGTGGTACAATATCAAAAGCCTTTTCAAAGTCTAGATATAACATATTAACTGTGTGGCCATTTTCTAGTGCATCTGTTATGACATCAAGAGTTTCTAATAGATTTGTTGTGCAGTTTTTTTTTTCTGAAACCATGCTGATTTTTATTTAATAAGCTATTTTTTTAAGATAATCAATAGTTTTATCTCGAATGATTGATTCCAAAACGTTACATGGGATAGAGGTTAATGAGATTGGCCTGTAATTTGATGCATTGTTTGTATTACCTTATTTAAAAATCGGGTTTATATTTGCTGATTTCCAGAGTTCAGGTTATTGTTTCTCAGTCAACAATTTCATATATATTAAAGGTTTACAGAAAGTACTATGACATTTAATTAAGACATATGGGCTTATCCTATCTACTCATACAGCTTTGTAAATATCTAATTTTTTAAATTTATTTTCAATAGTATGGCAAGTTATTATATTGTTTATTTCTACTTTTAGAATAATTTTAGTCTTCTGCTCCATATTTGGTATGTTATGTTTATTGTCATTAACAAAAACTGGTGTGAAACTATTGTTTACAATATTTGCTATAGTTTCTCTATTTGTTACAGTGTTTTTATATTCATCATACATTGAAACTATTCCTACCTTAATTTTTTTGTTAGAGTTAATATAACTGTAAAATAATTTAAATTTAAATGTTATGGTGGAGATCTTTTTTTGATATTTCACTTATCCTTTTTTCGTATTCAATACGTTTTAAACTCACCATGTTTTTAACCAGTTTACTTTGTATTTTATATTCTTGAACAAAAATGGGCGACTTGGATTTATTTGATATTAACTTGTTCCATAAGGTTGTTTTATGTCTGATTTCAGTCTTTATTTTTTTAACAATCTATGGTTTTAAAGCTATGTGTTTATGGACTTTTTTTAGGTACCAGTTAGATAATTCGTGATATAAATTTACAAAGATTTTGTAACATTCATCAACATTTTTTTTAAAGAAAAGATGTGACCAATTTATACTATGGAATGAATTGTTCATTTCTTGATAATTTCCAGCTTTGTAGTTAAACTTTGATTTACAATTGGAAGACTTTGATGTAGTTGATTTTTTTAAGATGTAATTCCAATACAAAATCTCATGTGCAATACTTGAATTACTCAATGGAGGATTATAACCTATGATTGGGATATGCTCTGGTGCATCAGTTAAAATCAAATCTAATGTATTGCCTTCTGACAGAATGACTGAATTAAATGTTGGTTTTGAAATGTTTTGAGTCAAAAAGTTGTCATTTAAGTTGTCTAAAAATACTTGAGTATGTCTATCATTTTTAAACACTGTTTGGATATTTTCATTATTCCATTTTATATTTGGGTACTTGAAGTCTCTGGCTAATAGTAAATCTGAATATTTATTGCAATCAACATTTTTTTTTGCCATATTTATCATTTTATCGATTTTTTGATTTGTAAGTACTGTAACATCAGGTGGACAATATTGCTACCAATTAAGATCTCATTTTCGTTTTAATAACATACCAGACTTGTTCAACTGTCATTTCTTCAGATGCTAGGTCATAAGGAGTATAAGCAATGTACTTATTTTTAACATAGATAGCTACAACTCCACCATAACATTTAATTGAGTTAGCTTTAGATCGATTATTGTGAAAAACACTATACCCACTTACATTCATGGGACTTGATAAGTTAAACCAAGTTACAATAAATATGTCAGGATTATATACTGCTATTTTTAACAAAAACAAATCAAGTTTATTGTTTAGTGAAGTCGCATTTATATATCTACAACATAGATGATATTTGGGTATTGAATTGCATAACAATACTTGTGATTTAACATAATTAGATACAGGATTACATGTTGAAGGGAAAGCCATTTTGTTTGACACATTGTCTCAATTATAACTGATGGTGGTTTACATGTTGAAGAGACAGCCAATATTGAAGGTTGATACAAATAAAATAATGATTGCTATTGTTTTAGTTTTTTTATGAATTTAACAATTTTAAAATTTCTTATAGTGTAGAAGTATTCATTGTTTTGATTTAGGCTAGCATTTAACAATTTAAGTTCACTACATAACTGATTACTGAGATCTCTATCTGATTTTGTCATATCTGAGTTAAATTATATTTTGTTTATCTTGTTTATGTTAATGTATGCAGCTTTTAATACACTTATTTTGTTTGACACATTGTCTAACTCAATTATAAAACTGATGGTATTTTTGAAGTGTCTATTGCTTTGAGTATGATTACTTTTTTTATTTTATCCTTGTCTGCATTTATTGAGTCAAAAATATCTTTTACCATATCTTCATCAGATTTTTTCTTGTCGATATTATTATGATTTGCTAATTTAACACCAAATATAATAATAATATTATTTTTTTCTTTTATTATGTTCTTTTTCCTCATGTAAAACTGTGTTTATTATATCATTTCGGTCTTGATTTGCTTTAACTTTTTTTTTTACAACTTCACTCCAGTTTAGATCTTTTGATTTATCTTGGTATAATTTATTTTCTAATTCATTTACCCTTTCTTTAAGATTATTTATCAAAATATTCTTCTCGTCTATTTTTTCTTGCATTTCTTGTAGTAACATATTTATGTCTGAATTTTTTGGTGGCATTTTAAAAGTGAAACCAAAACCAAACCAACTCTCATCAATATCTCACGTACCTCAAGTTCTTTGTTAGGAAGGCTAAAACATCACCCTAAAACAGTGGGTTACCTCCTGGTCATGAACTTTTTTAATATGTATATATCTTGTAAACACTGTGTTGAACAAAAAAGTTAGTTTTTTTTCCGTTTTTATCTCCCTTTGTTTTTCTTATTTTATTGTTTTTGCTGTTGTTGGTGGTGGTGGTAATCTTCATTTTATCACAAATGAGAATAAAAACTTAGTCAATTAATTTTGTTTTTTTATGACAATTATTAACAGACACAATCATTATTGTTATATTAGTTAAGATTTTTTTATTTAAACAGTCAGCATTTATACAAAAAAAATGTTTTTTTATATGCAGATAGCGGTATGCAACCATCTGTTGTCATTTTTAAAGGTATTTGAAATGATAATTTATTAAAAGAAAAATACACTAAATTTTCTTATGGAGATTTTTTTTATATTTATATAAGGTGACCATATTTTAAAAATACCAGAGGGGTACAAGGAATAAATTTGGTATGCATAAATACAAATGGTAATTAAATCAAATCGGTAACCTGATTTAATTACCATTTCTTTAAAGGAGGAGCAACTTTTCAAGAGGCGCCAAAAATCAACTAAAAATAAAGACGCTCAAGGGGAATTTTTTTTTGCGTCTGTATTCACCTATTTTTTGATAAAATTTTGCATAAATTTAATAAAATGAATAATTATATTTCTTACATTTTCAAGACGGTTTTGTCAGCTTTTTTTTTTGTTGTACTAACATTTTTGAATGTTTAATTTCAATTTTTTAGTGGCCAAACTGGACAAAGAGCAGAGGAGAACGTGCCCCCTTGCTCCTGCTCTGCCTACAGGCCTAGTTTAAATGTGTTTTAGTAAAAACTTGTTTATTTATTTTAAAATAGCATTTGAAAAAACTAAATTATTTAAAAAATATTAAACAATATTTGCATTTTTAAATTACAATATTTTTCATAAGAATAAATTTTTCAGCAACATCATCTTTTTCAATTTTTTTTTGTGCAAGTTTTGAGCAGCTATATTATCTTAAATTAAATTTAACAAAAAAAAATAACTGCCAATGTTTTCATTGTAAGTTGGGATTTCCCTTCCGTCCAAATATCATAGGCAATCTAAAACAATCGCTCTACAGAAGGGTTTGTGCCTGGCAAACATAAAGCAGCTTCCACTAAGTTTAACAAATTGTTATAAGGAACGTAATTATTTTAAAAATAAGAAAAAATTTTAATCCATTGCTTGTCACATTCAACAGACTGTGATATCCAAGAAGAAAACGTTTCCTTTGTGCAATATAAACTAGCTCTCCGAATTTCGTTGAACAATTCATTACCATCAAATGTGATTTCTATTGATTTTTTCAAAAAAGTTATAGTTTCAATAATTTCAATCCATTCAACTTTACAGTTAAGTAAAGATGATTCAAAAAATTGAACCTGATTAAAGTGATGTGTCCACTTGTCTATATAGTCTATACAGATACTGTAAAAAATGTCTACTTCATTCAGAATTTGGTTTTTCAAATGATGACTACTTTCTCTGTAACTTACAAATGCTGTGTCACCATAAAAGATAGAAATTTTTCTTCTTTTTTAAATTTTATCTGGTATTTCAAATTCTTTAATACTACTTCAAGTTCTGCAGCAGAAATATCATCTTTCTCAATTTTTTTTACTGTGTTATAAAAAACATTGGCTTGAATGTGAACAAAAAACAATATTATTTCACCCATTTCGTTACAAATGCTGTGTCACCATAAAAGATAGAAATTTTTCTTCTTTTTTAAATTTTATCTGGTATTTCAAATTTTTTAATACTACTTCAAGTTCTGCAGCAGAAATATCATCTTTCTCAATTTTTTTTACTGTGTTATAAAAAACATTGGCTTGAATGTGAACAAAAAACAATATTATTTCACCCATTTCGTTATTGAAAAAGTCAAATAAAAGTTTTGGACAGTTTTCAAAGCTTAAAAAGTATGATCTTATTGGCTGATATAACTTAAGCACTCTTTTGATAAGTAAGGCTAACCAACGAACTTTTTCGAATCTTGGCAATTTTTGATATTTCACACCGGCCTCATTTTCTAAAGTAGATACTTGAACAGTAAAACGGTAAAAAAATAAATTAATTTGAGAAATAATTATCTCCACATCAATAGATGAACAACCAGATGCAGTTTGTATAGTGTTTTACAAAATATGAGCATTGCAACCAATACCAATTATTTCACGGTTTAGCATAACGATTAACATTGTTATTACCATTTCGTAATAAACCTCTGAAATTAGTGTTTTTAACTTTTGAAAAAATATTGTGGCACTAATGCATTTAAAAATAACTTTTGATAAAATACCCAATGTTTCTCCATTTAAATAATCCATGCCAATCAACTGAATTTGCACTCCCTCTTTAACATTAAAATAACGAGCCAAAATTGGATACACTTTAAAGTCCTTGTGATTTAATGCATCAGAAAGAATTAACACATATGATGCTTTTAATAAAGCATTTTTTGAGTTAGTTTCACAATGTTTCTTGAACACGTTTACAATTATCTTGGATTAAAAAATTTCTTAATAAGTTTTGATATACAATCAGCACTTCTAAAGCTATGGTTTTGTTTGATTGTGTGGAATGCAATTGTTCCTTTCATAATAATATTTTTGCAGATAATATTATTATGAAAGGTAATAATTGTCTACTAATGTCAAATAGGCTTTGACAAATAGTACATTTGAGGAGCTTATCTCAGAAAGGAAACATTTTCTTTAAATTATCATTAAATGTGTTTCTCTTCTCTTCTTATTATTCATTTTTTGAATTTGATGTATAAATAGTTATGAAAACATTAAATTACTATTTAATGAACACTTATTTTTATGAACTTCTTATTCAAATAAATCACAAAGCGTTATTTACAATAATTAGGGAAAAAAGACTTCACTAGACAAACAAAATTTGTATAAAACGAGCACATTTTCTTTTTTTTAGTTAAAAAATATTTCAAAGTAATTTTTTTTCTTCTCTAAAGGGAAGTTTAAAAACTTTTTTTAAATGTTTACGGGAATTTAATTCATTTAGTTTCGCGTTTTATAGTTAAGTTTATTGGAATTTTATTCATTTTGTTTTTTAACTATATTTTAGAAAATTCATTTATTAAAAGTCTTTCAAATAATATTTAACGCGTATAATATAAACGTACACAAACGCATACAAATCCTAAACGCGCAAAACTACCATCAAACCCTTACTGTTCACGCCAAACGCGTATATATGGTCACCTTAATTTATACTCTAGTTGTCTAAATCTTATATATGTCTTATATGGTGGTATAAAATCTTATATATGTATTATATGGTGGTATAAAAACCATGTCTTATATGGTGGTATAAAAACCATGCCTTATAAGGTGGTATAAAAACCATGTCTTATATGGTGGTATAAAAACCATGTCTTATAAGGTGGTATAAAAATGTCTTATATAAAAATTATAAGTTTTTTACTTTTTAGTTTTGCCACCTCAAGTTGCTTTTGAAAAAAGTAAGTTCATTTTACTTTTTTAAATTTTTATTCAAAATTTAATTATTTTTGTGTCAAATAATAATACAAAAAAATTGTGTCATAATTTGAAAAATAAACTGTTAAAATTATTATTAGTATAATTGAATCTCATCATATGAGTTAGGCAACTAATTTTTTGTTTTTTATTTTAAGTTATGAAAATGTTTGAAAAATTATTATTTAAAAAACTACTAATTTTTGTGGTTTTATTTAAAAAAGTGATTTTAAAGGAGTAATTCTAACTGAATAATACTAAATGAGTAATACTAAAAAAGTAATACAAATAATTTTTAACAATAAATACTATTATAACACATTTATACTATTTATTCATATATTACTACAAAATATTTTATGACTTCATAATTTTATGTATTATTTAATAAAATTCACTATTTTGTAGACAAAAAATTCGTTATTATTGCAGCAATATTGGCTCCAGTTTTATTTGTTTTTATTTTACTTGCTGTTGTGGTTTTGTTCAGACTTCACATGAAAAAAAAAAAAACCCAGCAATCAAATTGGATGACCAATATTTACAAAATAGAGTAAGTTTTATATTAATTAAAATAAAGAATATGAATTTAAAAAATGTAAGTATAAGTAGTAAGTCATAAGTAAGTCTTTTTTTTTGCAATTCGAATATTGAAGCTTGTTGGCCTTGTTAGTGAGTCTAGCGGGATGACACAAAAACTTTACCAATTTGAGTGACACGAGTCCCAGCAACATCACTGTATATACATACATATATACAGCTTTTTAACTGTTATTCTTTATTTAGGCAGTTTGTTCCAGGTCTTCCAATTTGGAAGATTTTTTAATTTAGCTTGGTTAAATTTCTGGTTAAATTTCAGTTTTTCAAGATTCAATAGTATTAATTCATATGGAAGGTTTTTAGTATCTAGATGATAAGCTTTAATTTTTTTATGGTTATAATAATGTTTAACATGAATATATTTTAAAATAACTAAAGTTTTTTAAGATATGAATTGCATTTTTTAATAGGGATATACGAAGCATTTTTCCAGACTGTTCCCAGAGTTTAATCGCTGTAACATTTAATCACTATTAAAAAAAAGTAACTTCATATACTTTTTTAAAGTAATCATAAATCAATTTATTATTCATTAATCCTCATTTAATATACTTTTATTTTTAACCACTTTGATATTTTTAGTTTACTTGTAAATTTAATTATTACTGTTATTAATGCTAATTATTCTATAGTAATTATACCAGTATAGTTACAAATACAATATTAAATATTAATTATAATTAAGTTATAGTACAAAATAATAATACTTCTTAATTAAACAAAAACATAAACTTAACAATAGCTAACAGTTTTTTCTCATTTACTGTTAACCTCTTTCTCTTTTATGTTTCTTCCTTTTAACCCAAACAATTTTTAATATTATTAACAAAATTTTCAATATTTTGAAAAACTTTTTGAAATATTGTAAACGTAATTAGCTTTTTTTAATATTGCAAGTTTTTTTTTTCTTTAAAGAATTATTTTAGTTTATGATTGAACTTATTGTATAATTATAATCAAATTAAATTAAATAATATGCTACTCTGAATTATGTGATGATGCTGTAACTATGTTGCAACCATGATAGTTCTGTGATCTGTTAAAATGTCTTATGTATAGGCAGGGTTGGCAAAAACCTGTTTTTTTTAAAAAAAACCCGTCCCAGTGGGTTTTTTTGGGTTTTATTGGGTAAATTTGGGTTTTTTTGGGTTTATTTTTTATTTTGTCTCTGTAAAAAAATTTTTTGTGTTTTTGTTTAATGATATTGAAAATTAGTTTTTTTCTACTTTAACTTTATTTAAAATATATTTAATATATTGGTTTTTAATTATTTATAACAAGAATTTTTCAAATTATTTTGAAAAAGATTTTTAAATATAATTTAAAACTGTAATAGAAAAAAAATTTCACACTTAATCTATATGTATTGATTTATTTTAAATTTAAAAGTATTATTCTATATAATTAAAAATGTCAATGAGAAAATGTAAAAAAGAAGGCTTGAGAATGGGAGGTAGTAACTGAAGTTTCAATTAAACTTTGAACTTGAAATTCAAATGAACAAACTTGTTCCTCTGCGCAGCGGCCTTATTTATAAAGATTCGTGTTTAGGAGTTAAAAAGTTTTTTTTCTTCTTTAAATCAATTCACCTCCTCAAAGCTTATGGTCACTACAGGCGAGGAGGCTACTTATTTGTGGTTATAACCCTCTCTCAACTCTATAACTTCGAAACACGAACCTTGACGAACAACCTTGAGCGCGGTACTGCCAGGGACGTGGTGGGGATCAAACTCGGAACCTCTCACTTATGAAGTGAGCGCTCTACCACAACACCACTACCGCAAAAGAGTTGAGAGAGGGTTGTAACCACAACAAGGTAGCCTCCTCGACTGTTGTGTTAGCTTCTCTGGTCACTACTACTCATTTAAATTCAACTTGGGAGGTGAACAACATAAAATAATAAAAATCTCAATCGATAAAAATATTTAAATAAAAATTGTAATAATGTATTTCCAAATAATGATTCAAATAATAGTAAACCTGCTCTGATAGCTGTTATTGTTGGTTATAATAGTTAATAATAATAGTTAATAATAATTAAGTTAATAAAAATAGTTAATAATTATTTTAGTAAATAATATTTTAGTTATAATGTTAAAGTTGGTTATAATAGTTCATAAACTTATTAAATATCTTTAAAAAAACCCAATAAAACCCAGATTTTCCTGGGTTTTATTGGGTTTTTTTAGGCAGGTTTTATTGGGCGGGTTTTTTAATGCCAACCCTGTGTATAGGTGTCTAAAGAGTTTTTTGTTATTTTTTAAAATAATTTATATGCCAAACAATTTTGTACACAGACCACTTTTGTATGCTGTCTAAAAGTTATGTGCTTGGACTTGGGAACGAAAAGCTATGTGCTTAGGAACCTTTTATATAACAAAAACTGTAAAACATTTTTTTTACAATGATCTTCTTATGCAGTTTTTAATATTTTTAAAAATTTTTTAAGGGTTTTGAAACTTTAATTATTAAATTTAGATTATTTTAGTGATTAACCGTTTTACGGTATCAATCCTTATTGTCCTAAATTTTGTTTTTGTGTAAGTAAATTTTATAATTGGTTGTTTTTGTGGTTATCAGTTATACATTTATTCCTTTTATTTGTTTATCACATTGAATACAAAGAGATATTTTGTTTAATTAGTTTAGTAGCGTATTTTTATGCTTTTAATGCTTATTCTCTTGTTTTTTAATATTACTGTGAATTAGAGCCTACAAAAATGAAAATCTAGATAACGAAGATGAATGGGAAATTCTTCCTGAATACATATGCTTAGATCAAAAAGTTGGTGAAGGGGCATTTGGTACTGTTTTTAGTGCATTAATTAGTGATAAAATTCTGGCTAAATTAAAAAATGCAAAGCGAAAGTCCGCAGTTTCTGTGTTTAGTTTCAGTGAAGCTTCATCTACTACTGTTGCAGTAAAATTTTTAAAAGGTTTTTAGTTTTAAACTTTATAATGTTTATTAAATTTAGTATTTAATAAGGTCCATGTAAACAAAAGATCAAATAAATTTTTATAAAATTCTATGTATATAGACATCAAATATTTATGTATCAAATTATGTGTATACATACTTCAAATACTGTGTATCATATTCCATTTATATACTCATTAAATATATATGAATCAAATTCTATGAATATATACATCAAATATATATGTGTATCTATTTCTATGTATATATAAAGATATGTTTATGTATTTATTTATCTATCTCTTTATATATATATATATATATATATATATATATATATATATATATATATATATATATATATATATATATTTCTTATACTGCTGAGTTAGGTGAGCATGATGATGTCATACTCAACTAATGTCAAATAGCCTGCTGCCGGGGGCTTCAGTACATACATTGACTGACAAATAGCCTGGCTCGCCGTGGAGTGCTGCTACATCGACTGAGGGTTTGGTATAGGTCAGCAACATTTTCATTCATTATTCTTCGTTTTCCCTCATCGTTTTCTAAAAATGCTCACTTAATTTAGCAAAAAAAGTAAGCAATTGCGCATATAAATATGCTATAGTAGATATATATATATATATATATATATATATATATATATATATATATATATATATATATATATATATATATATATATATATATATATATATATATATATATATATATATATATATATATATATATATGTACAATTTATATTACAAAGCTCTTATTCAGGGTTTGAATTTTAGTATTTTCTTGTTTGCCATAAACTTTATTGACTTTTGCTAGGTTGGGGTAACTTGTTTTAACTTAAAAATAAGTTTTGGTTTGTTCTATAAGCAACAAAAAAATATTTAAAGTTGTGCAAAACTTCAACAACTTTAAAAAAAGTATATATTCGAAACATTTCAATGAATGTAAGAGGTTTTTGAGTAGAGGCAAACTTAGTTCGAAAAGTCTTTGAAAGCAATAACAAATTAAAACGTTATTTTTACTTTTAGATAATGCATCCCAATCCGAACTGGATGATTTTCTTGAAGAAATAAGCCTGATGAAAGATATTGGATATCATAAAAATATAGTAAATATGATTGGCTGCTGTACAGTTAATAAACCCATTTGTCTTATTACTGAATTTATGGAAAAAGGAGATTTGCTACATTTTTTACGTAATAGACGATCTAAAGTAAGATATGCTATTAAATATTGTTTAAAAAAAAATATTTAATCTGCTCAGGTTCTGTTTTTATGAAAATTATTTTTTGTTTTATCAACAAGAAATTGTTTTGATAAAAACAGAACCTGAGCAAAAAAAATTATCATCAGAGTTTTTTAATTGCTAACAAAATACTTGAGTACTATTATTCCAATTATTCCAATTATTCTTTGGGCTTGTCCATAAATTACGTTACGGTCTAGGGATGGAGAGGTAGGGGAATTTAATTTGTTTAAATGTATAGAACTATGCTTTTATAAAACATATTTTCAAAATTTTATGTGATTTATCTTTTAAGTTAAGTATCATTATTATATTTCATATATAAGTATTTTAAAATATATAAAAGACATATAAAAAAACTTAGTTATTAATTGTATACAAATTATTCAATTCTAAAGTTTTTTTGTTTATTAGTATCAATTATGTCTTCCAATAAATTTGGTTCTTTTTATTTATTAGGTTGTTTAAAAAGCCGTGAAAATAAACTTAAGTTTTATGACTGTAATGAATATTAGTTTTTGCGGTTTTTAAATAAATCAAAAAAGTACCATCAATAGCCTACTTTAGTAGATAAAGTTATACAGTTAATAAAGTTGGCCATATCTTAAAATGTTTTAGAAAAACTAGACTTACAAAGTTTAATTTATAACACTGTATTAAAGTTTTATGCTTTTTGTATCAAGTTTTGTTTTTAATAAACATGTATTTTATTTTAGCTTTGTGCATCTAAAGTTGAGAGAGAATCATCTATAAATTTTTTGCACACAAAATCTTATAGACAGTCTCTACAGGTTTTTTTAATCTAACAACTTAGAGTTTGTTACTCTCTTTTTTGAAAAGATTTATTAGCAGTAAATATTTTAGGTAATTTTTGAAACTTTTCGTAGGTAACAACAAATGAAAATTTAACCTCTGAGGAAACGACATATGAGATTTCCCTAGATGATATTGGAGTGATAACACCTGATGATTTACTTAGTTTTGCTTGGCAAGTAGCATCAGGAATGGTAAGTATGTTTTAAATGCGTTAACTTTATTAGCATTCTATTTTTCTTATATTTTATAATGTATATCTCTGCGTTAGGAATATCTTTCATGTAACAAACTGGTACATCGAGATCTTGCAGCAAGAAATGTTTTAGTTGGTGTTGAAAAAAATATTAAAATATCTGATTTTGGCCTGACACGGAGAGTTAATGATGAATTGAATTATATGAGCAACAAAAATCGTCGATTACCTGTTAAGTGGATGTCAGTTGAAGCCATATATGACCAAACGTACACAACTTACAGTGATGTGTAAATTCAATAAAATCTTATAACTTTTATAGAGTGTAAATGTGGTGAAATTTTATTTTAAAGAATTTAATTCAAACAGTTTAACGGTACAATTATAAATAATTCTTAAATTTTTTTTAGGTGGTCATATGGTGTAGTTTTATTTGAAATTGTGACACTTGGTAAGTGAAAGTTTTTTTTTGTTTTGTTTTTGTATTTTTAATTATTTATACTTTGATTTTATTTCGTTCTATAGGAGGAACACCTTATCCAAGTATAAGTAATCGTGAACTTATTACTCTGTTGAAGTCAGGTTACCGAATGGAACGACCGGAAAATTGCTCGGACCTAATGTATGTTTATTTAATGCTTTTAAAAAAACATAAAAAAGCAATGCAAAATTAGAGAAACTTAATTTTTTCTCACATGAATTTAGGTACGATATAATGTTGCACTGTTGGAATGAAGACCCATTGCAACGACCTACTTTTACAGAGCTGCGTGAACATTTTGATGAAATGATTTCCCAAGGTGATTGTTATTTAAACTTTGAAATTGACGAAAAAAATACTTATTATAACGTAGCCTCGTTTTACAGTCTACGGTCTGAAACAGGAGATCGTTTTTTAGAGGAAGAGATCTTTCAAAAACCTATGCTAGTGAAATCGTTGGGAAATACTAAAAATAGGCTTAGCAATAAACCATTGACTAAAAGGTACGCAACTCGCGTATATGCACAACAAAATAAAACGCCGGCAGACATGGCAAATCATGCGTTTAGTGATGCAATATAAAAAATTTAATGGTATATAAAGTATTTTTGATTTTTATTTAATTTATATTTATATCCTATAAAATATTTGCATATAAAGTAGAATGTAAAACATATTTTGAAAATTTGATTTATGTACAAAATCCCAACCCTTTCTGAAAAAAATTTCAAAATCCATTTTTATGACAATTATTTACGGTAAATGTTGCAAACAAAAGAAACAATAAATACTAAGAAACTGAAAAATTTTTTACCCTAAAATTTTTTTTAGAAGTTTTGTTGGAATAGGGTTAAGTGGAATGCATCGCCTGCAATTCAAGTCCAATTTATTAGCCTCCTCTGTGGAGCATCTTAGGCAACACCACTCATTGCAGAAGTCGCACACGACGCTAAGGCCGCATACTTTGTGTTCGTTGACATTAACCCCACACATAAATTACAGAATCGGTATATGTCCCTCTGCGGCTTTATCAAACTTTTTTTTTTTCTTCCCTTTCCTTTACTAGAAGTTGCAATTGTTTTGGACTTTGTTTCCGCCTCATACTGAAATCATATATATTGAAATTAATGTGTTATTTAATTAACGTCATATATATATATATATATATATATATATATATATATATATATATATATATATATATATATATATATATATATATATATATGTACATATATACTGAAACGCCTATTTTGAATAATTTAAATAATACTTACAAACTTTAATATTCCTCATTTTAAATTAATTTCTCTACAAAGCTTTGGAGGGCCTAAATAAGAATCATTTTCTATACAGTAAAGATAATCAAACTGAAAACTTTTACAATTCTTTTTACAAAACTGGAGCGATTCCCTTGATTAATCGTCCAACCAAAGTAACAAAAAAGTCACCGTCTTTGATAGATAATATCATTACAACAGATATATCCGACAATTGTATCCAAACAGGTATCCTAATATCGGATATATCGGATCATTTTCCAATATTTTTGTTGCTTAAATCAAACTCTGAAAATATAACTAAATCAATAAAATTAATATACGCACTTTTAACGAAGCCAATATGAAACAATTTAAAAACTAGTTATCACTACTACACTGGAAGTATATTAACTTTAACGATAATGCAGGAAAATTTTTTTTTTTTTTTTGACTACGATAACTTTCGTATCATTGTAAAAACAATAAATCCAAAAAATATAAACAACCCTTAGGTGACCAGGGGGTTTAAAAAGTCATCAAAGATAAAACAAAAGCTTTATATGAAATATCTTAAAATAAAATCATCTGCAAATGAAAAAATATATAAATAATGCAAATATACATTTGAAAGAAGTTCGTAAAAACTTGAAAAATAATTACAAATAATGAATGAAATGATTGGCAGACAAAAAAGATGCTCAGGGGTTCTCCCCTAAACGATTATAGTTTATAACAAACATATATGCAAATCAAGGGCTATAGCTCATGAATTTAATAAATTCTTTGTTGACATCGGTCCCAAACTAGTAAACAAAATTTCTTATATGAATGCTACATTTAGAGATTTTTAGTACAGGTGGATCATTGCATTGGCTTTAACGAATTATCTTCTGAACTATCTTTTTAAGAGTTTGAAAAAGCTTTCAAATCTCTTTAAAAATAAAATATCAACCGGAGTAGAGGACATAAAGGTTAATACAGTCATAGAATGTATTGAGTACTTAAAAGATATCCTATTTATAGTCTATTTTTCAAGAGTTTTTTCTGAACTACTAAAACTTAATCAAGTTACTCCAATGAACGTATTATATACAATAGGTTATACAATTATTTCTATTTTAATAATTTTTAATACAACTATTAATTGTTTTCATCGACCTTTCAAAAGCATTCGATACTGTTGATCATGAAATGTTACTACACAAGTTAAAATATTATAGAATAAATCCCGGGATTAGTCTCCGAAATTTCCCTGGATTTCGAGATCGTCAAAAAAAAAGTAAAAGTTAATAAAGTTTAAGCTTATAATTGCCGTTTAGTAATTTTTATATCGTCTTTGGTATAGTAGCTTTGGTTGTGTAACTGTTTATTCTCTTTGAATTGTTTTCCTTTTATAACTCTCTTATTCTGTATTTTGTCAAAAAAAAAAAACTCAAAACATCATTGCTTGTCGGCAAAATATGTACGTTCACAGTGTTGTAGGAAGGTTTTTAAATGTTTTGAAATAACCAACTTTAAAAAAAAAAGAACATTCAAAATTTTTGTACGTTCATATGTATGACGAAAAGATTCTTCACAAAAAAAAAATTACTGTAAAAGGAGAATGGGAACAAGAAACCCTAAAATCTTATGCCCCTACCTGCCCCAAATGTGAGATCAACAAGTTGATGAAATAGTTTTTGTACTATTTTCAATAAGACTTATATTCTTCAATAAACTTTAAATTTTATAGTAAAATATTTTAGCGTTCAAAAAATATGACCAAATAAAGTTTAAAACCCCTTAATTTGAGGGGGTTGCAAATTTTATATGGTCATAATTTTTGAACACTAAAATAAAAAAAAACTATTGCGTTTTTTTCTATTTAAACCCGAGATTTCTCGGGATTTCCCGGGGACAAATTTCCAAACTCTTTTTATCTTTTCAACTGTTTTATTTATTTCTACTAAAATTTCTACAGAAAAAAAATTTTTCTATAAAAGAAAGTTTGACAAGGTGAGAAAACTTTAAACACATATTTAGTATTCATAAATAATGTTACATGTGCTAATTTTTCATATTTTAAATATATATTTATATATATTTTTTTCAACTTCATAATGCAAAATTAAAAAAATAATTAAAACAAACAGGAGCTCAAAGAAGATGACGATGGCCATACGTCATCGCAATCTTTTCATAGAACAAAATTTAAAAAGAATAGCGTATATTATAATATACGTTATAAAATTTCAATCAATTATCGTAATAAAATGCGCAAAGCATTTATTAGATTATTAAGCAAAAAACAAATTGGAATTATGCAACAAACTAAATGGATTCTGTTCCATATTTTTTTTATGCATTATATTTTGTTTAACAAAAAACTAAAAAGTTAAAAAAAAATGAAACTGCATTGTTTAAATATTAATTTTAGTTTAAAAGAAAATTTTAAACTATTAATTGTTCCATAAAAACTTTGCTTTTCAAATAGCTGTTATTATATTGATATATTAAATATCAATTTAATAAATGTATATAAAGAACGGGTAAAATATATGTTTTGCATACAGTTTTACAAAATAAGTAACGAGGCTTAAAAATTATCATGTGAAACATTTGTCATGTTAAACAATATTGATTGTGGCTCTATATAAGTCGAGGTCATTTTCAATCTTATTTTTTATCTGATTTTAACTAAGATTATGAAAACTTATTTCAACCTACTTTTTTTTGTTATGTGTCAGAGCACAATAGCGCAAGTAGAAAGATGCACACTTTTTAACCTTAAATTTGATGAAAACAGAATTTTAACTCAAGACTGGTTTAAACTGACTCAATTATACTCTTATTGCATGTATTTAAAGGTATTTTATTATTTATATATAAATACACTGTTAAAAAAATATCGCATTTTTTACGGATATTTCCGGCAGCAGATTTTCCAGAAAGTTTACGTTATTTTACGGAGTAAAAGGAAATTTCCGTATAAATTACGGAAAATATCAGTCATCGTAATAACAGTTATTTCCGTATTTAAACGGATATTTCCGTTAACAAGTGACTATATATAATATATAATAAGTAAAATTTTTTGGAAAATCTGCTGCCGGAAATTTCCGTAGAAAGCGCAAAATTTACTTTACAAAAAAATCTTGTCGTAAATATGATTGTAATGACTTTTTTGATATATAGCAAGTATTTAAGGCGGTCCCTAAACCTTTGGGGTCCAGGAAAAGATTTTCCAGTTTATAACAATTTATTTCAAGAAAATAAATTATTCCCATGCTTCGACTAAATCGACTTATAGTTTTTTTTTTTGTTTTTTTTTTTCTGATTAACATCGTATAATATTATTACAATGCACGTATACATATGGAATCTCATAAAATAAAATATAAAAGTATATACATTACAACAAAATTAAGTTAAGTAAGATAGGGGCTCAAAGAAGATAAGGATAACATTACGTTATCGCAATCTTTTCATAGAACCCCAAGGTACAAGTTTAAATAAAACAACGTAAGAATAAATAGCTCGTATAAAAATATAATAATAACAATGTAATCATTAAAAAGTCAAGACAAGGTTAAATTAATCAAAAAAGTAAAAAGAAAAAACTTTACCTTAAGTTCAAATTTTAAAAATTTCTTTTTTTAATTGAAACTTATATGAATTTAAAGACTTCACCATGAATTTAAATTCCTTTTGACAGTCATTCCATAATTTAGGTCCTCGATGAGATATACAAAGTTCTGAGAGTTTATTACATTTCCGAGGCAATTTAAAGTTTTTATTTCTATTTGATCTGAGACCATACTTTTCATTTGAATTTATTTCAAACTTATCTTTGAAGTTTGCTGGCAAGAGGTTGTTATAGTATCTATACATAAAAATTAGATGCTGATAAATATTTATTTCAAATATATCCATTATTTTCATACCTCTCATAAGAGGTTTTGCATGTTCACGTTTATGTTTACAGTATAAAATACGGTAAGCATTTTTTGGAGCCTACAAATTTTTTGAAGTTTTGAAGTTTGTGTACTTGCTCATGATATATTTGCATAATTAATAAAACAGTATATCAGTTCAAAGTATATTAACTTGAAACTTAACATATTGACGTATGGTCTAACCCTATACATTACGCCAATAGTTTTGGTAATTTTTGAATGTATGTAATTTATATGGGGAAACTAGGATAAGGATTTCGAGGAATTTTATATTTGCTTGCTTTTTAATTATTGTATCATTTAAGCACAGTTTGCGCAATTTAAAAGAAATGTTTATTTCTTGAGTTTTTTTTTATGGAATAGAGTATAGTTGGTTTTCTCAACATTAAGTGTGAGTTTGTTAGCTTTAAATTAACTATTTACTTTATTCAATTCTATGTTTATATCTGTATAAAGATGTTTAATATGATTATTGGTAAGAAATAAATTATCTGCAAACATTATTGAGTTCAGTTTTAATGATGCATTACAAAAGTCGTTAATATAGATTAAGAATAAGAGCGGACAAAGGATTGATCCTTGTGGAATTCCGCAAACGACATTTAATATTCCGGATTGCACATTGTAAACATATTGCTTTCTATCAGTAAGAAAACTTTTAATCCAGAAATAAGTTGTATTAATTATACCATAATGCTTAATTTTTAGTAAGAGAATGCAATGGTCGAATGCTTTAGATAGATCTATAAATACTCCTAAAGTAAATTTGTTATTGTCAAACCCATCAGTTATTTGGTTGACTATTTCAATAATTGCATGCTCAGTCGAGTGATTTTTTTAAAATCCGAATTGTTTTGGGTAGAATAAGTTATTTTTAGTGAAATATTAGAATATTCTATTATAATAGTCAAATTAGTCGATTTTAATTATGTAGTCGATTAGTCGATTTTAGAAAATATATTAGTCGATTTAGTCGTAACAACACCACTTTTAAAGTTAAAACTAATAGTTTATTTGTTTTAGGTAGAAAACGGTAAATCAAGTTTATCTTTATTCGATGAAGGTTGTAAATCAATATCTTGTAAAGAGGTAACAAAATTAGTTATGTTAGTTTGCGTATCAAAAACAACTCATTTTATTTTGTATTATATGATTTAAAATCTAAGAACCATACATTTGTTTCCTAATAGCTTTATCGAGCTGTTGGTTTGATGAAATAAAAAAAGTTCGACAAATGGTTCGACAAAAACTTGAAAAGTTTAAAGCTACAGAAATAAAATTTTAATTTTAAAACCTTAAGTAAGGTTTATTTGACAAAAGATAAATCTGATGATTTAATATTTTTTTAAAAATATATTGTTTGCAAACTTTAGTGTGAAAAGATCTTTAAAAATAGAAATATTTATTTGACATTTTTACAACTAAGGGGTTGTCCATTAATAACGTCAGCAAAATAGGGGGAGGGGTCTGAACTTTTATGACAATTGTTGATAAGGGGAGGGGGGCGAGGTCAATTAA